AATAATTTGGTGCAAGTGTTACAGCAGGGATGTATATTAATATATATATATATATATATATATAATATATATAGTATAGTATATATAGTAGTATTTCATTTCACTAAAAATAAGTAGGCCTAATAATTGATTTTAAACAAATTTAATAAATCCATTAATTAATTAATAGTACCAGATAGCTAACGGACATGTTCCCTGGTCCAGGGTCAATGATTCCGTCTCGCATGAGCATGTTGAGGGTAACTCCTCTACCCGTACCACTGGCTCCTCCGCGAGAAGAAGACAATGACGCCATCTCCTCTGCATCGGGGTCTCCGTCGCTGCCATTGTCCTCCTCGCTTTTCTCCACTCCCTCGTTTTCCGAGATTTCGGATACCGACACGCATTCACTGGGCGCTTCGCTGGGGACCTCTGAAGCTGTGAATAAATTATACTATGCAATCCAGCAAGGAAGGTGTGAACATGATACAGATTACAGAAGACTTGGCAACTCATTATCACTACAAGATAGCACACGGATTCTGTTTAAATATAATCGGCTAAAAATATGCGGCTAATAATATAAAATTAATGTACACAGTACAGTAACACAAATAAATATGAATTATGAATCATAATTCCATTGCTAATTGCGTATTGGCCATTCCATTTTACTGTGCACATGATGTAGCAGTCTGCATAGTTTAGAGATCAACCAAAGGTATATAGGTACAATTTTAACGAATTTAACGTTTATTTAACACTACTATTTCTACAACAATTAATGTTGTTTACGTACCCATGGTCAAATAATTTGGTGAAAAGATACAGCACAACACGCCAACGACGACTTCAACGCTTTGTTTTGTTTACAGGTCTGCGGCGCGATACTAGCGCCGGCCAGCGGCTAAAGACGGCACTAATGTCAAGTATCTAGAAATGTCATTTTGTATATACTTGTACATATTTGTATATTGTATATTGTATATATGTTACCGTATAGTTGTGTATTAACTCTCATATCTCGCGAACGAGTTGGGTTATAATTCTAGAATTCTACATACATATAGACCATAAGTAAGATAAATAGGGAACTATTATATCTAACTCCTGACTTATTATCGACACCGTGCTTAGCAATAATAACCTCCTCCAGCGAGCTCCCTCCCTCTTTTTAACATCCTAGTTTCACCGCGCACTGCTTCTGTCTGACTGTCTCTCTTCTTCGCGTCTCCCTCGTCGGGGGACATAGACCTTATCTGCTACACTACACTACACTACACTAAAATGGTTAAATACTTAGCTATTGCTATTGCACAATTGCTGCCTCCCAACTCGTCCATTACATCATTTACAGAAAAGGCAGAATTCACGTTTTTGCAAAATTGACCAATGCCAGTACTTCACCAATCAGGAGGCATTCTACGCAAACACACACACAGACATACACACGCACGCACGCACGCACGCACGCACACACGTACGTATGCACGCACGCACGCACGCACGCACGCACGCACGCACACGCACACACACGCACACATACATACCCTGGTTTGTTGCTCCCACAGTAGCGTGGCAATTTCCTGTCCACGGAAACCTTAAAGTTGGAAAACTCAACGTAGTCACTCTCTGTTTTGCTCAGACACCTAGACGTAGGACACAAAAAGCATTGCAAGATTGCGAAACTTGTTACAGCGTTAAACCAAATATTTGTTCGGCACTCGAATGTTTGACACCTCCATCTATTAACTGCTGCAGTTCCAGTTGATAGAGTTTTACTGATGGACTGCTGGGTGTGCAAATATTGAATAATTCATGATTGTACACGTTTCAACGCTTACTTTTCCGCCACGTGCGTGAAAGTTGGATATTCCAACGATGGCAACATTGCACATCATTTTCCTTGGCAGTAACGCGCATCAGGGAAATGCGCACCATACCCATAATTCACTACTCTCCGTATCATGGGGAAGGTATGCCACATCACTAATTCTAACCTTGGCCTTCACCTTAACCCTAACCCTGACCCCGACACTAACCCCTAACCTTAACCCTAACCCTACACAACCGTAGCCCTTGACCCTAACCCTAACCCTAACCTTAACCCTAACCTTAACCCTAACCTACACAACCATAACCCTGACCCTAACCCCTCACCCTAACCCTATCTAGAACCCTAACCCTAACCCGCACGACTACTCACGGGTAGATGCCCTCGACGTCGAAGTAAGAGAATGCTATCTGCACGCGCTCGCCGATGCGTCCCAGGAACATGTAGTGGCACTCTGTGTGGCGCGGGTAGCGGCCGGGGTAGTTGGGGGAGCTAAAGGTGCCGGACGTCGTCATGGAGCTGTTGTAGATGAAACCGCACGTAGTCTCGTTCGCCAGCGTGCCCGTCTCAACGCCAAAGTCTGAGGAGAAGATGGTGTACGTGAGTGTGCATGTTTGTGTGTGTGTGCGTGTGTGTGTGTGTGTGTGTGCGTGTGTGTGTGCGGGTGTTCGTGTGTGTTTGTGG